GTTCGTCCCGTTTGGGGTGCCATTTTTTTCCCGAGGGTCTGAGGTAGAGGGGGGGGGGGGGGGGGGGGCGTACTCTTATGTTTTGCATGCCTTAGCCGTTAAACCATTCACATAAGAGGAGGGAAATATGGTAAAATTTCAGACAAAGGAGAGCTTTCTGTTCTGGGCTTGTTCGATACCGCTATTAATAGGATACACGGGAGTTTTCGTCGTCTGTAGAGTAAACAAAAATTGACCGTGAAAAATGATGCCACGAGCTGCAACTTCGCCTTACTTAGGGCGCGCTGTACAAAAACGTCGGTGGGATGCTGCTGTTTTGACGAGAAAACAGCAAAATAGGGTCGTCGTGGGGAACTGCATTCATCCATCGAACCGCGGCAGAGGCATGTTTACAACCCAGTGGGGACGTAAAATCGCCGAGCACACTCAAACAACAATTACGCATTACGGGTGGTAACCGAAAAGACAACAAATAATTGAAGCAATTAACATCATGAACTCTCATCTATGGATGAGAGATTAGCTTGTTTATTTTTTACAAAGAAGAAACACAAGAAAAATCAGCGGAGAGACAGAAAACAAAGCCAGGGCTCTCAACTATTTACTCAAACCCTCCCACAAAAAAACAGAGGCGATCCGCACTGAAAAACAGGATACAACCCAACACACCAGCCGGCCGCATCCCTCACCAGAGCGCAGATCCCCATGACGACCAGGGGGAAGCAGCCGGAGTAGATCATGCGCGCCTCGGCAGCCGACGCTCCCTGGTAGGCGAAGAGCAGGAAGAGGAGCTCGACATGGGGGAAGTACATCCACACCGAATGGTGCCTCTTGAGGAAGCGCTCCGTGGACACCTGCTCCTGCTCGTAGAGGTCCCTGTCGTGGTTCTGGGCGTCCAGGTACTTGGCGTAGGCGGCCTCCGTGCGCCCGTCGAACGGGGCTGCCGCCTGGAGATATGGCGAGAAGACGGTTTGGGGGGATACGATTCCAGCGGCCGTGAAGTGACAGACAGATATCGAGATAGTTATAAGAGAGAGTGAGAGAGAGAGACACAGACAGACAGACAGACAGACAGGCAGATATATAGACAGACGGAGACGGAGACGGAGAGAGAGAGAGAAAGAGAGAGAGAGAGAGAGAGAGAGAGAGAGAGAGAGAGAGACAGAGATGGAGAGAGACGGGGAGAGACACACAGATAGCTAGCGAGAGAGAGAGAGAGAGTTCCGACCACTCGGTTCGTCGCGTAAAGGTGCCCGACGAGGCAAAGACAGCGAAGCCGGGGGCGTGGCGACGCTTCTTCAAACGAGCCGCGCCCCAAGCTCATACATACATACGGGAGACTCCGATTTCAGACGTCTCCCAAAGAGGGAGGGTAACAGCATCGCGCAACATCCCCTGTCTCATCGAGGCTAGCGTTTGTTGACTGGTTACACGGCGACAGACAAGATAGCTTTCGTTTTAGCGCACCACGACGACGAGGGTACAGGAGGTGACACGAGCGATGCATGCCTCCGTTTTAAGCGATTCTCTTCGATGCCAATCGACAAAACAAGAAGGACCAAAACCCCCTTTGATGGTTGATTGATTTCTGCGACCGCATGTGAAAACAATCCCTCACAACTTTTGAAGCAGCCCCCCGGTGGTGCATCCATGACATCATAGGCGACCATAAACGCCTACCAGTACGTGCTTCTTGGTGTCATGGGTGGCGGGCACCATCAGAAGATCTGCTTTGCCAACACACACAAAGTACACCCGGGGCCTACAACACACCTTTCAGAACACTATTACCAACAGTATAATAGCAAACCTACCTCATCCGATGAGCGCTGACGCAAAATTGCCAGCCTATGCCTGTGGATGGCATTTGCCTGTCCAAAGGGGGGAACAGGGGTGGGGGGCATTGAAGTGGCACCGGTGTGATATATAAGTACAAATCGTGTATGGTATGTTTCAAGCTTACGAGTGACACGTGGCGGTTCATGCCGCGGGAAGGAGCACAGAGAGGACGCATTGCGTGCGCCATGTGCAACAAGAAAATAAGAGCTACAGTAGTTCCTCTCTCGCAAGTGACGCATCTTCGTCACAAAATCATTATACTGTAAAAAGAACAAACAAAAAAACATTGTACGCGCATGGATGACAAGTCGCGAGTCAACTGGAAGAACAACAGTCACGGGAGGCAAGTGCGGGAACTTGGCGAGCCCAGCATCTTCGAGTTCGGAACCACACGCTACAAGCATCGGCGGCGGCAGCGGGAACAGAAACAACCAAAACGCACGCAACTACCCTCGTCCATAAAATGCTGCTGCGAACCTGAGAGAGCCACGCGGCTTCGAGGTAGGAGACGAGCAGGATGTGGAGGATGATCAGCACCAGCAGGAGGAAGAACACCAGGAAAGTGTTGAGCGCCCAGGTGCCGTTGTCGTCGTTCGACCAGTTAAACCTGGTTTCCTGTTAGGGTGGTGTAAGCGCGCACCCAGAAAAGTAAAACGGGCGAAATAAATGGCATCAAGGAGGGGTACAATAGTGCACAGAGGGCGTCGAAAGGGGGGAGCATGGGTGTACAAGGCGCACACACGACCGGCCGGTCAATGTTTTTTGGCGCGTTCCAGGCTCTCTGGCTCTCCAAAGTTGATGAAACGGCACGGAACCTATTCTTCGGAGGGCGTGTCTGCACATCGACGACGCAGCGACGGCAGCCGTGTGCGGTGCTTTCTGTGTGTTCTCCGCGTCCGTCGTATGCGTAACCAAGAAGAACAACGGGTGGCCTACGACAAGCTCATGCCACCACCAGCAAAGCCGGAACTGCTGCAGGCGGCGTCATTCTGACCTCCCGGGGGTCATGAGAGCCAAGGGGCAATCTCCCTCATCCATGTTACAGCTCAAAGGTTGCCATCGCTCCATACTCTCCTTCCACCCAGGAACCATGTCCGTTTGATCGACAGAGTCCTCGATTCGCCCGCGCCACACACGGCCAACAACAACAGAATCGGAATGAACGACAACAACTTCGACCAAGCCCTCCCCGTCCCATCAACTCATCTCCCGTTCGGGGTACGATAGACCCTTCTCCGATCCATTTTCCAAGAGCTTGTTTGTCTTTGGGCATACACGTACCTCTTCGTCACAGCTCAAGAAGCTGATGTCCACCTCGAAGTGCAGGTTCATCCACTTGAGGCTGTCGAGGAAGTTCATGAAGGGTGTCGTAATGTTGGCTTCCATCATCCTCAGGAGGCTCACGAACTGCATCTGGAAGACCATCAGCTGGGGGGAGGGGGGGGGGGGGTGCAAGGGTAAGGAGTCAGCGGTAGCGAAACATGGCACAGGAGACCAAAAACAGTACGCACTAGGAGAGGAAAAAAAGTAAGCATGAACAGAGAACAAAAGCTCATCATCTGCAGCAGGCTTTTGAGGCCTGCATTTGGGCAAGAAAAAAGGGCACGAAAAATCAGGTGGTGAAGCGCAGGAGAGGCGCAGCAGGCCGGACGAGTCACGATAAACCAAACTCGCGCAGCCGTTCCCAGGCGGCGTAAAGGGCCGGGGGGAGGGAGTCAGGTGTGATTGTCGTCCGTTGCGTGCTTTTAAATCGAGGCGGGGTCGGTCTCTTGCTCCCCTTGCGCTTGGGCCGATTCCAACAGCGAAAAAGGGGCAGCTTCGTCCCCACAAGCTTCGCGGCGGTGGCAGTCGACCTCATATTTGCGCCGCCTCGCAAAGGGGTGCGCTGTCGCAAGCCCGGTCACACCAAGGCGCAGAAACCAATCGCTACCCTGGGCATATACCGGTAGACAGGTACCGTAGGTAATTACGCAAACCTACCACGCACGCCTCTTCTTTGGGCTCCCCCCCCGTCCCCAGGACTCTCACCAGACCAAGCGTGGCCCCCGGGCTTCGCGTCGAGACCGAGCTCGGGTCAGTTCCGTACCCGCCCAAGGTGCTCGTGTTGTTCGCCCCCGAAGTGCCGGCGTTGTTAGTCACCGCGGACGACCCGTCGGGCACGAAGCCCCCGGTGGTCGTCATGGTCGCGCCGGTGGTGGTGCCGCCGGTGGCGCCGGTGGCCGTCGTGGCCGTCGTGGCGGTGGTGGTGACGGCGCTGGAGGTGCCCCCGGTCCCGCCCCCGGTCGCCGCCGCGGAGGCGACGGTGGAGACGGTGGTCGTGGCCGTGGTCGTGGCAGCCGTGGTCGCCACCGTCGTCGTGGCCGTCGTGGCGGCAACCGTGGCCTGGAAGCAAGAGCAAGCAGCAGTTCACACGCACAGCCGAGAGAGAGAGAGGAGGGATAAAATTAGAAGGACGTTTCTCGCCGGACCTCAAGAAAAAAAAAGTACGAAAAAATGAGTCTCGGGCCACAACCGCCGCCATGGCCTGGCAGAACAAGCAGTTCACACACCTACACACACGCACAGCCGAGAGGAAGGGTTACTTAACTTATATGAGGAGCAGGAATTATTTCGCCATACCAAAAAAAAAGTGCAAAAAATGTGCAAAGAGAAAGAAAAGCTTCTCGGCATTGAGGCGTAGGGCAGCACAAGCAGCAAATAACAACGTCATGGTTCGCCAGGCGGGGCCAGAACAAGTCGGATGGCGATCGAAATGACATCTCAGGAACCACACGACCACAAGAGAGAGAAAACACCAAACGCGATTAGGCCCGGATATCTGGCGGATGAAGTCCACGGCCTACGCGAACAACGAGTGCAGGGGCGATGTCATGCCGGCAAACCAGGGGCGCGCCCCCACGGGAAAGCGTCCGTTCCGGAGTATCTTGCTGGAGGCACTCGAGAAAATACACAAAAAAACACAGCAGATCAAACCGAGACACAGTGGAGGAGTTTTCGCTCTCTACACTTTCCTGCCACTGACGGACGGCGCGTGGTACAGTAGTATCCGTCACAGCTCCCGCCCGCGACACGCAGAACCAGTCCTGCACACACACACACACACACCCACACCCACACCACCCCTCCAGCGAAACGGTCACCGCTCTAGCTGTTATCCATTTTTCACCGTTTTGACCCCCCATGCGCGCGAGAGGCCCCGCTCAGCTCTTTTCAACTGACGTCGTCTTTTCGTCTCTTCCGCTACAGTATTAGTACAATGCGCCCTATCTTTTCCCTCTCTCCTTTACTCCCTATCTTCTTCCTCTGTCTCTCCCCCCCGCTCCTTTTCCCCCCAACACTCTCTCCCAGCAGCTGTCGCGATACTCAGTTCAA